GATTTTCTTGCTTTCGGGTAATTTAATATCTTTGGTAGTGAAGTAAGATTTAACAGAAGATACTAACGAATCGGTAGAATCAATTTCGAGCTCCTTATAAATCGTCTCGGTCAATTGTAAGGACCATCATCTTTTGATTCGATATAATATCGTGGACCTTCTCAATTGAAGTAGATTGTTGAACGTTAGCGACGGCATCCTTATACTCTTTCTGAACGCTTTGTTCTATGATAATCTTGTCTGATGTAGTTAATAGTTCCTTAACTAAATTTTCATCTTTGAGCTCGTTAATAAGGTACTGTTTAGCCTTCTCAGAATTATCCTTGTGCTGTTCGGCTTGATCTTTGGATGAAGTTATAGTTAAGTAGCGGAGAGACAATGCTGTTTCCCATGCACTTTGCGAAATATTTTTTAACTTGTCACTAACACCGTGAGATTGAACAGTCTTTTGAAGTTCATCAGAAGATATATCAATATGTTCAGAAACTTGTTTGTCCAATTTGATTGAGCCATCGGTTTTTTGAGTTGAAACGATCTTTTTGGTGGCTTCGGGAGTGGTCTTGGATTGAAGTATAATAAGTGCTGCAGTGTTTTCAACAGATTTTAACGCATGAGTCGCACCCTCTGTGATGGTCTTAGTGGTACTGTCTATGGTATCATCAAGATATTTTGTAGTCGAAGTGAGATAACCTCCAACTGATGGGGACCAAGATGATTTCTTGTCGAAAACCTTTTCAACCACAACCTTTTCGCATGATTCCAAAATTTCTTTTTCTAATTTTTCATCCTTTATTTGTTCATGAATCCATTTACGGGCCTTTTCGTTTTGTACTTTCCATTTCGTTTCATGTTTACCTAATACCTTATTGCAGTAAGCGAACGTTATGAACGTGTTCCAGGTCTTTTCATCAAATTTCTTGACTCGTTCATCAGAGACACAAATAATTGACGAAATTTCTTTTGATGTGGTTATGCCAAGGTCTTCGGTAACTTTTTCGGAAATTTCGAACGAGCCATCATTATTTTGAGTTTTTGTAACTTTATCGACTTAAAAATTCATAAATTATATTATAAGCATGTAATAAAAGCACCACATAAATTTATTCTTCAGTAAAATAATAAACGCAAACCTCTTCTACAGTTACAGATTCTTGCACCTTTTCAATAACTACTTTATTAGCTTTTTCTTTGATTACTTTCTTCGTTGCATGTTCAACTACAATTTGATCGGTCTTTAATAATAATTCTTTTTCCACTTTCTCGTCTTTTATTTGAGAGATTAAATATTTCTTCGCCTTTTCGTACTTCTCTTTTACTTCTGGTGATGAATCCGCGGATGATGTTTTTCGGAGGAAAGATAAGGTCATTGCAGTATCAATGATTTTCTTGCTTTCGGGTAATTTAATATCTTT